CCGTGCAGGCCCGCGCGGCCTTGAATCCTCGCTCATGCGAGCGCGCAATGAAGATTCCTGTCAAGGGTAATGTCCTTATTCACGGCCCTTGCACTTCCTGGTCCGGCGGAGGAGATCGGGATGGATTTCCTTCCCGCTCGTCGGGTCCTAGGCTCCCGACGGCGTCCGTCCGGCCCCTTCAGGGTGGCCGGGAATTCTGGCCTCCTCCGGTGCTCTGCAAGGGGTGCATGGTGAAAGTATGGTTCCCCTTATTTTCGACAGCGGTTACAAGCAATAATATGAAACGATACAACCTGCTTATCCGGGCTCCCGGATGTGTGTCCCTCTTCCTCAGCTTCTTCGGCCTTCCTTCCAGCCTTGTCCTTCTGCAGTCTTCCTTCCAAGGGTGGCGAGTGAGAAGGCACGACGATACAATGGCATTTTACGGTAGCTGCCGAGCGTGATTCGTGGCGCGTCTACGCTTCCCGATACGCTTGGTCATTACGCAAAAGAAATGCTAGTATAAAAGAATAAAATCTGCCATTAAAATAAATGACGCGACTTTTAACGCACGTTCATATAACTTTTGTCTGAAACACTTTTCTGTAAAACTTAAATTTCCCGAGATATTTAGGTGTCCCGACCTTTTTGGGACACCCTGTATATAAAGAATTTTAATTATAGTTTTCCACATCACCCTAGAGGTACTAATGTAGATGCGTTTTTTTTTAAGTGGTTTCCCCAATGCCTATTCCACTAAAAAAGATTCTCAAATATATTAAACCACCAAACTTAATATATAAAATAAGGACTTCATAACAAACACAACTTTTCCTCTGCACGTATGAAATCGCAAACGTTCTGTAACTTCAGAAGTAAATATCTCTTGAACGAAGCGTTTACGAGCATACGTTCAGAAGAAAATTTTTGTTTGTTTTAAGGACTTGAATTCATATTTTGAGTTTGGCGGTTTAATCTTTTGTTGACATAGTGTCTTTTGCGGACATAGTGTCTGTTGTATACTTGAAAATTTTAATTGGATTGAACTATGTATTCGTTTTTTAAGGTCTTGAATTCATATTCTGAGTTTGGCGGTTCAATCTTTTGTTGACATAGTGTCTTTTGTATACTTGAAAATTGTAATTGGATCGAACTATATACTAGTTTTTTTCATAGTCCAAATGATACGTGTTATTAGAATTAAGTAAACTTTTGCAGACAAAGTGTCTTTTGCAAACATAGTGTCATTTGTATACCAAATGATACATGTTATTAGAATTAAATAAACTTTGACATAGTGTTTTTTGCGAACATAGTGTCTTTTGTATATCTTTTGTTGACATACTGTCTTTTGCGAACATAGTGTACTTGAAGATTTTAATTAGATCGAACCATGTATTACTTTTTTTAAGGTATTGAATTCATATTTTGAGTTTAGCGGTTTAATCTTTAATTGACACAGTGTCTTTTGCGAACATAGTGTCTTTTGTAGATCTTTTGTTGACATAGTGTCTTTTATGCGAACATAGTGTCTTTTGTATACCTGAAAATTTTAAATGAATCGGACTGTGTTAGTTTTCTTCATGGTCAAAATAATACGTATACGTGTTATTAGAATCAAATAAATAATACCTTCTTTTTAAAAATGCAAGTTTATATAATTTGAGATTTCTTTCGATTGCACTAGATAAATTGTTATTATTATTGTATGAATATATTGACCGAAATGTAAAAGTTATTTCCCAACTTATTTAATCTGCTGCAAGAACAACATGTATGCCCCTTGTGATCCTCTGTGCCATTTCTTCTTGATAACTTGTAAATCATTACTAGTGGAGAGGAATTACCGGAGATTTAAAAAAAAAGGGAACTGTTTCCAAGGAGCAATTTTTTTGCGTGAATGGGTCGAAGGCAATGCGAATGAAGGATTCCTGAGTTTTCCAAATCCCCCGTGGTCCGGAACATTGTTTTTTTTAACATTAAAAAAAAATAGCGTTTTTTACGTTTTCTTCTTTAGTTTTTTGCAAATATCTCAGTTCTATTTGTCGCACAGAGAAAAAAAAATCAAATTGTTCGTAATAAAATTGTCTATAAAAAAGTATTTGACAGTGAAATCGGAAATCTTGCAACATAACCTCAAAAAAAAAATAAAATCCACCAGCATAGTAAATTTTCGTTTCTATTTTTTTAAATTTTTTCTATTCCGGCAATTTAAATGATATTGCAGGAAAAGTTACTTCTAATGACCATAATTACGTGTAAAAAATTTGAATTGAAAATATTCATTAGGACGGCCGTAATGCCCGTTTCAATTTCAAAATTGATCAGCTTGTAACTTTTGGGCATCATACGGGAGGTGACTTTTTTTTTTAATTTGTAGGTTTTTTTATGCTCTTTAAGATGGTTAAACAATATTGTCAAAATCCAAAAAAACTATTTTTTAAATCGATTTTTTTTTAAATTTTTATTTTTTCTCCTCTTTTCATATAAAAATTCTACTTTAAACAATAAATTTCTATTTTTTTAAAACAAATTAACAAAATAATGTACGCGGATTGTGGTTAACATATGCAGATCCCCAATTTTTGTTCATAATTATAGAAATAAACTTTTTATCTTACTTCCTACATTAGGAATCACAAATTATATAGGCTATCTGTGATTGGGCACAAATTAAGTATGATTGGAATGTTTGTATTTTTTTAAACCTGCAGTCGGAAAATCAAAAGACAAATATTACAACCAAAATTCTTTCAAATACCCAAACTTACAATATTGCATACTGTTTTTGCACGCTTTTACCGGTTGCGATACAACGTCCGCCTTTTACAATATTGGTAAGAAGAAACTCTGTGACGTTGTGCGCAAGTACGAATGTCTTGAAAAGGACATTCGCAACTTTTATGATCCCGCGGCTACGAAAACGTCATTATATGCAGCAGGTAAAAGTTGTATACAAGCTTTATACAATTCTGATCCAGAAAAGTACATAGATTTGAGCATTTTAAGATTTAGATGCTTCCAAAAGCATACAACGAGCACTGCGTGCAAACTTTTGCAACTGCCTCTGACTACATCTGCAGCGAACAATCACGTGCTACGAGTTTATTTGCAGGTTCAGAAATGGTTGCTGAATACGAATAAATTGCCGACGGATCACGGATGGGAGATGTCAGATAATGGTTTAATTCCAGTCGCTTTACCGAAAGGTGCGAAACCATTACCAGATAGCCTCTTAGAGTCAATAGCTTGCGGATGCAAATCTGGTTGCAAAACAAAGCAGTGCACGTGCAAGAAACATGGAATAAAGTGCGCAGCTGCATGTAGGTATTGCGCCGGTCTAAACTGTGAAAATTCTACAGTTTGTCAAGACGAAGTCCAAGAGGAATATTTAGGAGACGACGATGGTGACGCCGATACATCTTCAGTGTGTGAAACAGACTCACAAACGTCAGAATTGAGCATCGACGATATTTTATCTGAAAGCTCACATGCTGAATCAGACTGGCTCTACACCG